ATTTTATGTTTACAGATTTATTTCTATATGTTTTTGCATTTGTGGGTGCGCGAAACTGTGGGTGGTTAGTAGCGGCGCCTAGGGTTTTGGTAGGAGGCGAGGGGGGGTGAGGATTCACTGTATGTTTGATTTAAAATTTGTAGCATTTCCCAGCAATAACCTCTCTCTCTATCTCTCGATCTCTTAGTATTTGTTGATTTTTGAGTGTTTTGATGTTTCATCAAATTTTGTTGATTTGCAACTAAGTAATTTTTTTTTGTTTTGATTTTGCAATTGCAGTTTATGAAAGCCATTGATCCTTTCCTTGAAGGTGTCAAAAATTTGGTTGAAGTCACTTGTGAAGCAGTGTTTGACAAACTGTATACATTACTATACATTACTATACATATATAGTAACATGTAGTTATATATGCATATATTTGTGTATTTTCAATTTTTTATTTTTTTTTGGTTCTGAGGTGATTTATAATAAAAATATTGACATTTGTAAATTTTATTGGGGTTTATGAATTTCTTTTGTATAAGCCAGTATTCGTGTGTGTATACAATTGATCGACTAAAAATATGGGGAAAAAAACGAACATAACTACGAATTACTATAGGTACTATAGTTACATGTAGTTATTTTCAGTACTGCAAACGTATTGTTTTGAAAATTAAAAAAATTAAAAAAAATTAAAAATTAAAAAAATTAATAAAAAATTATATTTTTTTAATTTAAAAAAAAAATTAAAAAATATATATATATATATATATATATATATATATATATATATATATATATATATATATATATAAATTTAACAAACAGGTTTATTATTATTTATAAAAAAAAAAAAAAACGAAAATAATAATAAATAAATCCGCGAAAATGATAAATACAGTACCAAAAATGTTGAATGCTGTTTGGCCAAAAAATGCATATAAGGGGAGTATAGTACTTTCCCTTCTCCAGGGGTATATCAAAGGATGATTTGGGCTTAGGTTTATCCCTAGTTTATTTGGTAGCTAGGGAGCTATATATATATATATATATATATATATATATATATATATATATATATATATATATATATATATATGTATACGGACAAGAATTGTGTGGGATGTCGTCCACACCGATAATGGGAGAGAATTGTAGCTGCAAAGAGCTATCTATATTCCCTCGCTAGTACTCTTCATCTCTTTAGAGCATCTCCAATGGGAGGGGTTTTTCCCTCCCCTCCCCCTCCCCTCCCTATACCCTCTCCCTTCCTCTACTTACGTCGTTTTCAATCGTTCGGTCTTACATTACTTTTTTTTCATTCTCACTCTCATCACTATAATAATAATAAAATAATAATAATAATAATATTAGTATTAATAACTAATAATAATAATAATAATAATAATAATAATAATAATAATAATAATAATAATAATATAATTATAATAATACAATATTCAAATAAAAGTAAATAAATAATCTTCAACTAATTCAATAATTGAAAGAAAAACAAGAATAATATCCACTAATACAACATTTGAAAAACAACAAGGATAAAACCGAACAATACAACAAGAATCCGAAAACAACTAGGATAATAACGATTATTACAAACAAAAATAATAATTAAATGACCACCTACCAAAAGTGATTTACAACGTCAACAAACATCCAATAGACTAAATATTCAATTCAATACGAAATTCAGAAACCCATAAATATATTTATTATTATTTTCAGAAAGATACAAACGCAAAACATGTTTTAAAACAACCCTGGCAGTTTGACATCAAAGAACAAAAGAAACATATAAAATGGTAAAAATAAAAAATATAAACAAAAGTGAAAATGAAAAGCAGGCACGTCGATCAAACACGTCGCGAAAGAAAAGGGAAAAGAAACGAAAGAAGAGAACTGATTGGATGAGGAGAACGAAACCACGTCGTTTCATGATTAAAATGGCGAAAAGAAAAGCAAAAGTAAAGGGAAGCGGAATTTGGGGGTCTTAGACACTTTTATATATATATATATATATATATATAAAGCATCTGCAGTTTGCACAATCATCTCATTCTTAATCCAGACCAATGGAGGCGAAGAAAGAGGAGGAGCTTGATCTCTTGTCTGATGAATCAGCAAAGCCATCGCAAAATTCAACCGGTCTGGTTACAAGTAAAATTAGTAAAGTAAGTGCATCGTTTTGATTTCTCTCTTTTTTCTTGAGTTTTTTAATTGTACAAAAACAAAATTAAAAAAAGATACAGCTCTTTGCTCTCCGGATTAGCATAAACAAAACTCTTATCATATAGATATCAAGTCAAAAATAAACAAACACCTTTAAAACTCAATGTTTGAATGCGCCGGAGAGCGTTTATTGTAAGTGATGGGGTCAGTTCGGCATCACGGACTGAACTAGTTGGTGCAGATTCGTTTAAATTAAGCAGGGTTTTCTTAGGTTGCATGAGGGCCGAGAAGTCTATTTATTGGATATAAAGTCAAATATTGTACCGAGCTTGCCTTTGAGAGCGTGATGGCAAGGCGAACTAGGAGATTTGGTCGGTGTTTGTGTTTATGCACGCACTTAGCATAGTGAAAGTTCAATATTTTTTCCTTCTAATATGCATATGTATATAGACAATCTATCAAGCATGAAGAAGGAAACATGCCAAATCGTATTCTATGTTCGATAATTTAAATCTAAACAATTAGTACACTCGCACAATAATGAATCTAAGAAAATAAAAATTATAATTGATTCATCTTACGTGTTGTTTATATTTGCGGTTTTATGTGGTCTCACCGAAGTTCTCACGGATGTAATTTCACATCGTCTTCTCTTTTGTAGAAATCGGATTTCATGTAGGGTTCTTTTTTTTTTTTCACCAAGGGTTAGTACTAGATAGACTTGGTCAAATATGGCGAAAAGGAATTGGACAGAAATTCAGACTTTCTTCTTAGAAAAATGTGAGAGAGTGTTGGACAATTTTTTTAATATTTAAAGTTTAGTCTGTATCCTATAAAAAAATAAATAAAATTAATACTTCTCGCAAGCTCTGTATCTCTCAAATGGTAAATCTGAAAAATGTAACAATTGCATATTTGTGAAGGGCAAAAAATCCTCGTCATTTTGAGCACCGTGTTGTATTGGAAACTTCCATTTCCGGGCAACTTTGAAATCAGGAAAAAATCATAATTTAGAAATTAAAGTCCACTCCAACTAAAAGGAAACGCATTATTCTTATCGTTCATTATTACGAATTTCAGAGTTAATCACATTAACTCCTAACCTGCCAGGAACAACAACTTTGTCCTTAGCTCCACCGTGCTAAGGAATCCTCACAATAAGTGTGATCTTCAATGGTTCAGGTATAAACTAGCCGTGGGCTCACAACTCTTTGTGATTCGAATAACTCTTATATCATTACGGACTTGTCCCAAATGTCCTGGTTTATATTAAAATATAATTTAATTTTAATCGCCGATCATATAGGTTAATGCTCAACGAATCATGATTGACGCCTAGCAAATATGCGTCATGATTCATTAGATACAAATGAAGTTGCTGCAAGAACCTTAAATTATAGGTGACATACATCACGGTCCCTTTGACAACACATGTCTCGATCGAACTCGAGGTATTGGCCCATTGAGACATCTACGTTATTCAATAACTGTGCGAACGTTATAAAGTTATATATTCCTTTATGTTCTAATCAACCCACTTCCATGGAATATATACTGAAAGGATACATAGATCATCCATTCATTTAAACAAGCGGTCAAATTTCTAATTACTATGCACGGACTTCCATTAGATTTTGGGATGTGCGAACGGTGTCTCTTGGAACGGATTTCAATGAAACACATGGACATATCACAACACAGTTTGTCCTCTAGTGAATACATATTGATGTATGAGGTCCTAAGGATGGAAACATATGTGGATGATCCAATGATGGAAACATATGTGGATGATCTAAACTAAAATGAATAGTTTTGAATAATGCGAGGTCGCATAAGGGTTGCACATCCCCTGGTCTAGCGCAAAACACTATTTAACGTTCTTATTGTTTATTCCGTCGGCTTACCCAGAAGAAATTATAAGCGATTACTAGATTGCGAAGGGTTGCACATTTCCTAGGCTTGCGCGAAAAAATTAAAAAGCGATCACTAGATCGCGACTGCACATCTCCTAGCTTGCCCGATAGTGCTTAGTGATCTTCGGATTTTAGGGTCGTTTATTCGTTGGGGTTGCCCAAAAAAAATTAATAAGCGGTCAATAAAAATCGCAAAGGGTTGCACATCCCTGAGCTTGTTTGAAACACTATTTAGTGATCTTCAGATTGTGGGGTCGTTATTTCCCCTGGCTAGCCCAAAATAAATAATAAGAGATCACCATATCGCTAAGGGCTGCACATTCTCTAGGCTTGTCCGACACACTATTTAGCTATCAACAGATTGCAAGTTCATTTATTCCCTAGCTTATCCAAAATACTTAATAAGAAATCACCAAATCGCAAGGGTTGCACATCCACTGTTGCCTGAAACACTATTTAGCGATCTTTGGATTGGGGGTCATTTATTTCCAGGGCTTGTCGGAAACAATTACTGAGTGACAACCATATCGAGAAGGGTTGCACATCCTTGAGCTTGCCGGAAACACTATTTAGAGATCTTCGAATTGCAAGGTTGTTTATTCCCTGGGCTTGTCCGAAATAATTAATAAGCGATCAGCATAGAGGGTTGCACATCAATTGTGCTTGCAAAAAAACTATTTAGCGATCTTCGGATTGCGGGTCATTCATTCCATGAGCTTGACAAAACAATTAATAAGTGATAACGAGATCGAGAAGGTTTGCACATCCCTGGGCTTGCCCGAAACACTATTTAGCGATTTTCGGCTTGCAAGGTCATTTATACCCTGGGCTTGCCCAAAATAATTATGGCACAATAATTAGGTCGCGGAGAAGGTGAAAATTCACCTTGATTCCCAAAATTAACCGCCAGTTCGCGTAAAATGCCTCGGGGCTCCTATTTGCAGATTCTCACAATGACTAAAATCAATAAACTTCATTAAAAGCGAGGTTCTTAGTCTATTATCCTAATAATTTTACCGTTTGCGCGATGTTGTCCGGCGGCTAGGGTTTTGGTTTTGTAGGCGGCGCTAGGATTTGATATTTTGAAAGCGGACCTAATCAGAAAAGACCCATGAACACACTATATGAGTTTATTAAGTAAAATCTATTAATTTAAGGGAGAACAGGTCTTGGTCTTAATTATATTTGCACTCTTTTGCTTAATTGGGCTATTTGTTGGGCTAAAATACTAACACACAAGTTCATGTATCGCTAACAAGTAGTAAAAGTAGACTCGAAAGAGTCGAATGTCGATCCACAAGGAACACTTAAGTTATGTAATCTTAAGTACCAAATTCTACCAACTATATTCCTATCACGCAATGCAAATGTTGTCAAGTTTTTATGATCTAAAAATATTAAACTAAAACTATGAAAGAAAATAAGTACGAGAAAATATCAATAAAAACGGACCTAGAATTTTATCTTCCCCTATGCAAGAATTGCTCGCTCAAACCCCTCAATGATGTAATATATGATTCTTGATTATTAACATGAGACGCTATATTAATCATAATCAACTTTCACGTGTATTATAATTCTATTATTCAAAACCAAATTACTATATGTCTATGCAATCCGATTTTGAATAAAGCATTAAAGCATATCAACAATGGTTACATAAGGTGAATGTATGTATGTCTACGATACCACATGCAACTAACACACTAATCCGGTGAAAGCTACTCGAAGGTTCTTTTACTTAACGTCTAATTATCAAAATAGATATGTCGAGTCAATTCCAATAATCAGAGATAAAGCACATAAATTGACCGGGTTCATGCACTAACAATCATAACAAGTAAAATATATAATCATAAAATCATAATTGCATAATCTCAAGAAAATTGGTTCACAATCTCCACATATGTTTTCAATAAAATTCTAGACTAAAACTTAGCTACTCGTTAATCCAGCGAAAAACATCATAAAAATATTCAAGAACATAAATTAAAGAAGAGAAAAGGAATAAAAAATATGCTAGTGATTTGTCAGATCTCCACTAGTCGGTTTCTTATTCTTTTGTGCCAAATTATGTCACCCATTTCCGTGTAAGTAATTGTTGCTTTTATAGGCTTTTCTTGGTAGAAGTAGTAGAAATCTAATAGGACTCAATTTCTTCATATTTTCTCAAGCATGACTTGTTACCCGATTTTGGCTATGTTATAGTCCGAATTTAGGTATATTGTAAGAGATAAATATTGTATTTTGTTGAAATAAATTTTCCAACGCCGCTGAAATTAGGTGATTTGGAGTTCGGATGAGAGATATATGATCGAAAGCGTGAACCCTGCCAAAGTTGTGTGGGATTCCTTCTTTCAATTTGATTTTATTTCCTTAATTGCAACTTTATCCTCTCTTTTTTTATCATTTTTCTGTCATGCACACCTAATTCTCGATTTGCACCTATAAAACACAAAATTAATCATGTAAATCACAAATTTAATTAAATCTAAATAAAAGATCCACGTAAAGTAAACGTAATGAGTGTAAATTCTACACTCAACACTAATCTTTAGCACAACTGGCTCCCACACTTGTTCCGTGACTCTATCACTTGAATACTTGTAATCCAGTCTTTTTTATCACCATTGAATGAAGCTTTCTTAGTTAAGATATTTTGGATCAAATGCACCAACTTTCTCCTTGAACTGTTTAGTTGCACTCCTAAGCTCGATTGGAACTTCGATTGGATCAGCATGCCAATTGTTGGTTAGGCCTCCATCACGTAGGATTCGAGGCAGTTTTGTAATGACGATGGTGTTTTAAAGATGTTTGCTTGGTTTTGAGGCAGTGGACAAATAGATATACTTCACTTTTTAATCTCTAGTGAACCGCTTTTCTCGGATCACGTGAGAGTCGAAGGTGTGGATGATGGGATCAATTCGACATCATTGGTCGAACCGGTAGTGTAGTTTCGTTTAGAAAATGTTTCTTAGATTGCATGTGAGCCGAGATTAATATTCATTGTGCTAAAATCCCAATGTCGTACTGAGTTCGTCTTTGAGAGAGGCGTGACAGCGAGGCAAACTAGGAGATCTTGTCAGCGAAGCAAAAGATGAGCTCCCATGCGACGGATGGTTTATTGTAACAAAACGAGAGTGTGGGAGAGTTTTCCACCGGGCCTAACCCCAGTGTTGTAGGTGATCGGGATCCAAGCTTTTCCAGCAACGAATGAGACTTGATCGGGGTTCAAGTCTTAGGTGTGCAAAACCTGCACGACCAATAATAAAATTTATTACGAAAATACTTTTAGCTATTCGAAATATACAAGGAATTTTTTTACTATACATTCTTATTTTTCTAATAATTTGTTTGAGTGATTGACAACAAGTTTTAAGAGAAAAAAATATTATAATTTATTTATTTTTTCCTTCCTTACTAGGTCCCAACAGAAGAAACTATGAATGAAAATTCTCGAGGAGAATCGCCATCGCCTTTAGAGGCCTGGTCACCGTCTTTATGGTTCTATTTATCATCTGCAATAGCCTCGGCACGGTCATCATCCTTCAGGGGGCCACCTTCTTGTCATCTGTCCTCCAGACCATCACCCTTCAGGCATATCTTTTTCATGTCAAATTTGAAGGTAACTACTTTTCATGTTTATATTGAGGTATAATAGAAGGATTTTTTTTTTTTTTTTTTTTTTGTGTTAGTTGCATTCAGCATTATGCGTTTATTATAATCATAACAATGTTCCTCCATGATTTACATGAACACAAATCATGATTATTAAATTGTGAATTGAATCAAAATTCGTTTTGTCAAAAACTTGAATCTCAAATTATAAAAAAAATGACTTCATTTTAAAACTAAATATAGATAGAAATATATATTAAATGATATACCCGAAATACTTATAAGAGCGTTCATTGAGGGCATAAAAAATGGGGAGTTCTTTAGATCCCTAGTCAAGCGACATGCGACCGACTTTGACGAGTTGTTCCCTATGGTAGACACATATATATATATATATATATATATATATATATATATATATATATCAACATGGAGGACCTACAACAAACGAAGAAAGACAACTGACAGAAAAGAGAGTCGAGCGTATAACGGCAAGATCGCCCCTCCGAACCTCCTCGATTAAATTATGATTGTCCCCCACCCCCCCACGGTCCACAGAGCACCAAGACATTCATCAAAATGTTGTCATTGAAGAAATGAGGTGCCACCTTTTGCATTGGTTGTTCGGGAAAATCATACTAATAATCTTAAGTTTTAAAACTTCTCTTGCATCCGTAATGGAGTGAATAAGAAATCATCCCGAGGTGAGGTGGCCTACGGGGAGTTCTAAAACCACCTCGTTTTCTTAATTATAACGGGCGATATTATACTGTCAAGTCCATAATGAATATCAACATGGGAACTGATTAGTGTTGGGATATAGTTAGACGAACTAGAAAGGCTAGCTCATTAGAGCCTCATACCCGAATACATAGTTAGGGAGAGTCAATGCAATAAACAAACCATCAATGATAATAAAATATAGAACGATCAACCACTGCAATGAGAGGCGTCGTCATAGCCCCCACAAAAAAAGAGGATGCATTAACACGATCGTAGGAGGTCCTATAGATGAAGATAATCCGAGCACCATGTGAAACGAATTAAAAGCAATTCATATAGAGGAAGTTAATGTTGGATATTTTGCGGATATACATGAAAAGAAAATCAAGAAAAATATAGGAAAGAGTTGCTATGGCAAAGCTCTTAATTTCTAGTGAATTCTTGATTTATTGGGTTACAATTACAAAGGTAAAGACCCTTTAAATAGATAATAAAATGACTCTTGAAACTCTTGCCTAGATAACTAAAATGGACTTTCAAACTACATAGTGCATGAATATTGAAATGCATGCATAACAAAGTGCATTAGTTTCAACAGTTAACGAGGTCATTCTAGGAGAATTTCCATGCATGTAAATCCAGTTCGGGGTAAATGACTATTCTGTGATCGATTCCCGTATAACGACGCCTTAGTGATCACCACGAGTATTGCAGAATATGACGTGAAATGGGAACTTGTGGTTATAACAGATGGATCTAAATGCATATATTCGACCAGTTGCAACTCAATTTTTTGGTATTACTGGCAGAGCAATTCCACGAGTAAGACAAGTAAAGCAGACGGTGTCCTTTGGAAAGTATCTATTGATAGTTTATCAACAAACAAACAATAACTTTATGGATAGTGGATGCAACATCATCATATGTGTGATTTGGAAGGACTGTGTTAGTACCTTCATGGCAGTGGTCTCTGCTTTTCATATGAAGATCAAATTCTCCTTAGCTAATGAAGTGAGCGAGGTGATAGGGGACCAAGAGAACACAAGGTCTTGTTCGTCAAAGAGAGAAAGGAAAAAGAGTGGGAGGTCGTTGTGAGGAATGTAGAAAAGAAAAGTGAGCTGAAGTAAATCCAGAAAAACAGGAGGAAATGGTATATGTTAGAGAAAAACTAATGAGTATAGAGGTGATCCCCAGTCGACCAGTTTGTGTAACTCGAATCGGTTCACAGCTAGATAAAACCACCAAATGATGAAACCAAAGGATCTAACTGAACTGGACCCTCAAGCTATTGTCCATAGGTTGGACATCAACCCATAAGTTACACCCGTAAAGCAAAATAAATGACAATTATATGCCAAAAAAAAGGGTATTATCAAAGACAAAGTAGACAGAATTTTGTGGATCGTACATATTAAAAAAAATCCAATTATCGGAGTGGTTGTCACATGTGGTACTTGTGGCCAGCTAGGGGGAAGCAGAAAATGTGCATTGATGTTAGAGACTTGAACAAAGTGTGCCCAAAGGATCATAATCCATTGCCACGGATCAATCAGTTAGTAGATTCAACAACCAGGTGCAAGCTCCGATACGATGGATGTTTCACAAGGATATCATCATATTATGATTAACTTGTTAGATGAACCTAAGGTGGGTTTGTCAATTCGACAGGAACATATTATTATGTCGTTAGGACATTCAGATTGAAGAATGTCGGAGCTACTTACTAAACATTGGTTGGCAGGGTGTTCGCTCATCATATAGGTAAAAATAAAGAGTGTAAATACAAGTTGTGATTAGTGTGACATGGAGAAGATATACGCACCTTAAGGAAATTCGGAATGAAATTAAGTCATAAATGATCGTTCAGAGTCCAAAGTATAAAATTACAAGGATATCTTGTAATCCAAACGGAATATAGGTTAATCAACATAGGGTTCGAGCTATAGTGGACACGAGTCCACCTAGATCCATAAAGGATGTTCAGACATTGACAAGTAAAGTACTGCTTAAAGAAGGTTTTCTTTTACTTTGCGTTTTCCAAAAAATGAATGACTTAGAAAGGAATGAAGTATGTCAACACACTTTGAGACTTAAAGAAGGTGTTAGCTAAACTGTGATTGTGATCAAATCGTATGATGGGGGAAGTCATTTATATGTACTTAGTAGTGGGGCACTTGTCTCTAATCTTAGTATTGTTCTATAAAATTGACAAAAAGCAAAACCCATTGTATTATGTTAGTAAGTTTGCAAGGTATCGAACTCGGAAATTTAGAGATCGAGAATGTAGATTTTGTGTCGGTCATTGATGCTTTCCACTAACGGCCTTACATCCTATCACATACTGTAGTCGTGCGAACATGTAATCATTTAAAGCATAAGAAATGTTGGGGCCTCATGAATCATACTGACATGGGGAATTAAGCTAGAGCAATACAATGTACTGTACAAACCTAGAACAACCAATAAAGGACAAGCATTGCAAGATTTTATTCAAGAGACTACCCTTGTTGAAGAGTGGCAAGCTTGGAAAATATATGTGAACATGTGTTCCACATCAAATGGATCAGGGGCAAGAAATATATTGGTCAATCTGTTGGGGGATGAAATGGAGTACGCCATTATTTTCCAAGAGAATGTATGTAATAATGAAACGAAATTTGAAGCATTCTTTCAAGTATTGAAACTTTCTAGATAGGCGGAAGCTTCAAACATATTCATACATTCTGACTCACAATTGGTTGTTCACCGGCCTTCTTTGTCTTTGGATTACCCTAGAGGAGAGTGTGAGATAAAAGACAAGAGGATATAGCAAGTAGATGAATACCTTTGAGACATTCGAAGTACTACAGGTCCCACATGTAGCAAGCATCAAGGCAGACTTCATGTCTAAGATTGATAGATCGACTATATTTAGGACACCACGAGTCACTAAATTGGATATGAGTGTTACGTAGATATATGCCGATGAATATCAGTGAACTGCAATTGTCAATTGGTTAGTAGGGATTCAGCCTGACTACAATTAAGCTAGGGGTCAAGTACAGTGTAGGACCATACATTTTTATTTGGTAGGATGAGGGATTCTTAAACAAATGTATACACAAGTTGATGCATGGTGATCGGTAACGATGAAGCATTATGTAATGTAATGGAGATGCATGAAGAATGGTTTGTGAATCATGATAAGATCGCTCCATTGCACAAACATTTTTTAGAGCGATGTATTTATGGACGACGATGAGGGAAGATGCTTTCGCCTACATCAAAAGTTGTGAGAAATGTCAATTTCATTCCAATATTACACATCAACCCAATGAGAGAATGCAAAATTTTTCGTTCCCATATTCGTTCACTCAATGGGGATTGATTTAACTGGACTATTCGCGATGGCCAAAAGAAGAAAGTGTTATTCAATCATTGTCATAGATTACTTTACTAAGTGGATAGAGGCCGAACTGTTATCATAGATCATGGTGGATGAAGTCATGAGTTTTATATGGAGCCATACATATTGTCGTTTCAGCGTTCCAATTGTTTTGATTTTTGATAACACTACTCGATTCAATTGGAAAAATATGCGAGATGGATGCTAAGAGATGGATGTCAAACAACATTTTACTTCAGTGGCACACCCTCAAGCTAATGGCCAAGTCGAAGTAATTAATATCATAGATAGGATAAATAAGACTAAAGGATCTGAAGGTGGTTGGATCAATGAACTTCATTCTGACTTATGAGATTATCGAACAACTCTGAAGAGAGCAAATGCGAAACCCCCTTCAACATGGTCTATGGTACAGAAGCAGTGATTCCGATGAAGATAGGGATGAAGACCTTATGAGTCACTACTTATGATGAGAAGACTAACAATGAGATACATGAAGAAGAACTAGGTTGTTCTACGACAAGAGAGAAGCCGCTTAACTAAGGGCATCTCCAAGGTTAAGAGTTAAAATTGGAGATGCTATATCTATAATAGCTACTCAATAGTGTTATACCACCTCAATTTTTACTATCCTACTCCAACCATATCATTTAAAATTTAGCATTTTATTATATTTTATTAATTTTTAAATTATATTTGTTATGATATATATATATATATATATATATATATATATATATATATATATATATATATATATATATATATATTTATTATTTAAAATAAATAGTTATTAATTTATTAATAAAAATATCTTTTATCAATTTAATAATGAATCAAACATTGATAATTTATAAAAAAAAAATCAAACCTCGTATGTCAAAATTAGATTTACGGCACATGTCTTTTTTAAGTAAACAATTGAATATAATTTTTTTTTAAAAGAAA